TGGGAGAGAGATAACTGAGAAGTAAGAAAATGATGCTTGGTACATTGTTGGTGTTCAGTCAATATTTGTTGAATAAATGAATTAGGAGACAGCTTGATAGACTTTCAAGTGTTGTGGGGTATCTCTGCAGTATGGCCATCTGCCTCTGAAACAGCACCTCCTATTTGGGAAAGAGGAAGGAAAGAGGAAGGAAGGAGAGAAAATATATGTGCATTCTGGCTCTCCATGCATTTGTGCCAAGGTCAGGTTTGTTCTCGAGTTAGGAATCCCTTGTCTGGCAGTCTTCTCTTTTAGGGAAGAAGGGCGTGTGTGTGTGTGTGTGCGCGTGCGCGTGTGTGCGCACACATACACACATGACACAAGTACAATGACCCAATATTTATTCCCTTCTAGTCATGCCAACACCTAAAGACCTCAGGCTACAAAATCATTTCTTTGCCAGAAGGTAAACTGGGAGAAAATGATAAGGAAAAAAAGCTAAGAACATTCAGTGAGAACTCAGTTTTCTTGGTAAACATAAATATTTGGCACTTAAGATGCAAACAAGTCTTGATTCTAATCCCAAAGCGCTTTTAGTGTGGGAAGACATAAAGCCAGAGTATTTAATGCATGGGAGATAGTGCAGGCACAGAACCCAAAGCCTTGCTACTCCACGTGTGGCTCCACCAGCGGCAGCATCTCCTGGAAGTTTGTTAGAAATGCAGCCTCTCGGCTGGGCGTGGGGGCTCAAGCCTATAATCCCAGCACTTTGGGAGGCCGAGACGGGCAGATCACGAGGTCAGGAGATCGAGACCATCCTGGCTAACACAGTGAAACCGCATCTCTACTAAAAGTACAAAAAATTAGCTGGGTGTGGTGGCTGGCGCCTGTAGTCCCAGCTACTCGGGAGGTTGAGGCAGGAGAATGGCATAAACCCAGGAGGCAGAGCTTGCAGTGAGCCGAGATCGCACCACTGCACTCCAACCTGGGGGACAGAGTGAGACTCCGTCTCAAAAAAAAAGGAAAAAGAAATGCAGACTCTCCAGTTCCATTCAAGATTGACTGAATGTGATTTTGTCATAACAAGTTCCTAGGTGAATCATATGCATATGAATATTTGAGAAGTACTGACCTAGGGGGTGGGGATGGGATCTGGGACTGTTTCTTAGAGGAAATAAATCCTGAGCTGTGTTTCGAAGATGAGTACGGTTAACCAGGTGGTGTTCCAAGTAGAGGAAAACAACATAAGCAAAAGTTCAGTGGTATGAAAAAGCACAGGGGCGTTTTGGAAACCTGTCGCCTAAAACTGCTAATCAAAAGAGAGAGTGTGGGAGAGGGGAGGCAAGGGAAATGCAGAGAGATGACGCAGTTCAGGCAGTGGCCAAATCCTGCTGCATGTGTTCTAGGGTAAGGAGCTTTGACTAGACTTAATCCTTGATAGAGATGCATGATGACATGTTCAGATTTGCATTTAGATCACTGCAACCCTGAGGAGGCTGAAAGGCAGAGAGATTAATTAGGAAGCTGAGGCAATAGTTTTGGAGACAGATAATGAGAGTCTAAACTTAGGTTGTGGCAGTGGGGATGAAGAGGAGGGGGCAGGTTTAAGACATTTTAGGAGCTAATAAACAGATGAAAGACTTCAGAATGGATTGGAGGTGGGAGGATGAGGGAGGGCTGAGTCTTGACTAGATGACTCGTAAGCTGGGATTAGTGCATGGCTGTTCATGATGCCACTAACAGAGATGAAAGGATACAGGAGGATGAACAGGTTTGAAATGATGAGTTCAGTTTTCAAAATGTTCAGCTCAGGTGAATAGAAAACATGTATAGATGGTCTCTGACTTACTATGGTTTGACTTTATAGCTGTGTGAAAGTGACATGCATTTAGTAGAAACTATAGTCCAATTTTGAATTTTGGTCTTTTTCCAGGCTAGGGACATGAAGTAGGATACTCTTTTGAAAGGCTGGGCAGTGTCTCCCAGTCAACGACATAATCACAAGGGTAAACAACTGATATTCTACCATGTACTGTGCCGCCAGATGACTTTGCCCAACTGTAGGCTAATGTAAATGTTCTAAGCACATTTAAGGTAGGTTAGGCGAAGCTATGATGTTCAATAGGTTAGGCATATTAAATGCATTTTTGAATTGTGATATTTTCAATTTATGAAGGGCTTATTGGGATGTAACCCCAAGTAAGCAGAGGAGTATCTGCATAGAAGGGAAAAAAGGAGGAAACAAGAAAAGGATGGAGAACAGGGTGAATCAATCAGGATGGAGGAGGAAAAAAATGCCCTGCCCATTTTTGGGGCAACACTAATACACATAGTGTATCTGTGAGCTTTTCTTGTAGTTGTATTTCCAGAGGTTGCCTCTGTGGTTCCAGCAACTGGGTGGACCCTGAAGAAAAGTAAATAATTTGATTCATGATTTCCTATCTGGTGATCAACTCATTGTTGCCACCGTTTACTCTATGAAAACAAAAAGTCTTTTGATCTGTGGTTCAAACTGCTCCAATGTCAGTTTATCTTTTTCCAGATTCCTGAATGTATAAATAACTTTGTCCATGTCACAAACACTGTTTCCAAAGTGGCAATAATACAATCCAGTATGTGTGTGTGTGTTTCTAGAGGTCATCCTTCAAGCTCTGGATGACTCTTCTGCCACAAATCTTACCCATCTGTGAATGTTACAACTCTTTTATTTGCACCTTAAAATTCAGAACTACATCATAGCCTGTCTCTAAAGTTATTTTTTCTAGACTTGACATTTTCTCAAGGAGTACAGGTTACTGAAACAGAAGAGAAATTAGTCCAATAACATCTCGTGTAAATGTCTTAAAAATAAACATTGGCGACAGTTTTAGGTTCATTATCAAATCAGAATCCCTGAAGTGAAACCTGAGTATTGGCACTTACTAAAAGTGCACTGGAGGATTCCAGAGTAGAGTCACAATCAAGAACCACTAACTTAAATGGTCAAGAGAGACCCCACCTCCGCATCACTAAGTATATCTTCAAAGAAAATGAAACATAATATTTGGCTAAAGAGAACTTTTAATAAACACTAGTCATTAATAAATATTAAATCTTGTTTTATGCCAAATATATATTTTACATTATGAAAGTGCTCGAGAATTTGGAGAATATAGAAGAATACATAATCATGTGTATATAAAAAGTCATCACAAAAAGAATCATCGTTCGTGTTTTAGAATTCTTTTTTTTTCTCTAGGCAAGAACTTTAATGAATTGAACTGTTACCGACAACATAAAAAACCAGTATAATATATAAAAAATTATCATTTTATTTCAGGATAAAATTTATCATGTTGGCAACAGAATATGTCCTGCCGACCTCCAAGTGGCTGACATAGTATATCCACCCCATGACAGGCCCACTGGGACTGTAGTGAACATGCCTGTACCTCAGTACAAAGTCCCCTTTCCCTGAGAAATGTACAGAAGGAGAGATGAAGAGCGTGTATCCAAAAGGAAGAGGAAGAAGCTGGGTGCCCTGTGCCCCGAGCTCAGAACTTCAGGGGGATGGCCGGCCAGTACTTGGGCTGCTTTGGGTCACAATGCGTGTCAAAGCTCAGCTGCACCGTAGTCTCCATGGCCCGAATCTTGGCGGCGCTGTCCCAGTACAAACGCTTCATCTCGGCCTGGCGCCGCTCACCAGGCCTCTCAGTTGGGGCGTCTACCGACCGGCGGGTGTTGCAGTACAGGTCGTGGTCAGCGTTCACAAGCTGTCCAGGCGCTCTGCATCCAGCTGCTGCCGCCGTTCTTCTCTGTGCCTCTCGGTCTCTGCAAAGTACTGACGGAGCTCTTTGGTGATTTCCACGTTGCTCAGGTCACATTCTACCTCTGCATCTGACTCGATCTCCATCTCTTCCTCTTTGGACAAAGTTTGGTCCTCTCTTATGGATGCCTGGATCCTACTGCTGCCATGTGGATGCTGCCCAGACCCTCTGAAAAGTGAAGAACTGCAGGGGGAGTCCTGCTAGGCCACATGATGGTCATAGAAGGACTGACGATATGCAGCCTGGTTATCGTAAGAGCTTTGGGGAAGAAGTGCAGGAAGGAAGTACCATGGAAGACTGAAACAGGATTCCGCCGCCTTCCTGTAGGCATTGTGGTGACTTTGCATCCAAGACATTGCTTGATGATAATGTTGCCAGTATCTTGCATATACTGGATGAGGATACCAAGGCCTGGTAGCTTTTGATGTTGATGCCTTCGCCGCTGCCATCTCCGATTGTTAAAGTCCAAATGGGTGCCGAAACTTGTGGGCATGCAGCTTGCAGATCCTGCGTGGTGGCCAAGCAGGCCATATTTTAGAAATCTTTCCAGGCGGGTCGCGTTGGCTCACGCCTGTGATCCTAACACTTTGGGAGGCCGAGACGGGGCTGGGAGTGGGGGGATTGCTTGAGCCCAGGAGTTGGAGACCTGCTTGGGCAACATGGCAAAACCTCCATCTCTATACAAATAATTTACATTTTTAAAAAGAATTATTATTTCCATTTTATTTCAAATGTCAAGAAAATTTATTGACAGCGATAATCAGACTCCATATGCAATTTTGTATCTTGCTTTTCAAATTTGCCACAGGCTTCTAAAAACGTCCCAGACTTCTGTGTCTCCATGGAGGAAACTCCGCAAGTACTTACAAATGTTATGATTAGTCATCCGTAGCCAATACAAAGCAAAAGTTAGGCTTGCAATTTTATTAGTTAGGGCAGGAAGAAGGCATTCCAACCGGCTTCTTTCGCTTTTGCCAGGTTCAAACATGGCGGGCCGCAGCCGGCCCTTCCCGTACACTCGGCTTGCTTTCCCACAACCCCTGCCAATCTTTAGCGCTCCTTTTTTACCTTCCTTCCCCATCAGCGGCTCCAGAGGGTCAGCACCTCCGATCATGACAGCGGACCTGCTTCCCGCCCCCACGCGAGGGCCCGCCCACCAGCCCGCGCCAGCCAATAGCAGGCCGCGCCGAGAGGACTGGTAGCGCCGGTCGGCCCCGCCTCCCCAGCCTCGCTGTGGCCTGCGGCTCCCGGGCTGGTAGCGCCGCTCTCGGTCGCGCGGACTGATCGTGTGGAATCGCGGGTCGCGGACGCTCGCCGCCGGCCGTAGCTCAGCCCAGCGCCTCCAAGGCCGACGGCCCCCAGCCTCTGCCATGGACTTCGAGGACGGTAAGCACTGCCTCTGGCTGGTCGGCGCGGCTGGCAGGAGGCGGGGTGGCCTGCGCTAGGGGTCTGTTTACCGTCTCAAGATGGCCGTGTGGGCTTTGTTCTGCGGGCCCGGAGGCCGCCTGCCCGCCCGCCCCGGGCCCAGCGCCCGGAGTCGGCCTCTTTGGAGACCGGCGCTCCCCGATTCGGCCCGCTCGGCGCCCGCTGCCGGCGGAGACAGGAGAACTCGGTGCCCGGTAGGACGCGCCTAGAGCGCGAGAACCTCCGGGCTAGAGCCCCAGACTCGCCTTGGCCCCTGGTAGTGGAAATTGCCCCGACGTCTCCAACTTCCCGGTCTCGGCCAAACGGGCGAGTGCGGCCTCACCCACCTAGTCTCGCATTCGCCCCACAGGGCAGCGACCCAGACCGTGTGCTTAGTTAATCCTCAGCCTCGGGTTACTTCTTGCCAGATAGAATTCTCAGAGGCTTGTTCACAGTGGTGTTTCTGGTTATCCCGGTTTAAGATGAGTTGAAAGGGTGTCTTTAAGTGATGTGTATAGATAGATATCTATGCAAAATGGAAAGCAAAACGTTTCCTGGTTAGCAAACTGGGGTGTTTATCATCAAAAATTACCTGTTTGTTAATCCCAAATTTGAAATATTTATGTGAACCAAAGCACTTTTCTTTGGATCGTGTGTAGAAAGGATTTAAGTTAGTCAGAATTTTGGCACAGCAAGCATCAAATGTCCTTCACATTTGAACCTGTACACAGCCTTGTAAGTGTTCGACCTGTGGATTAAATAAACTGTATTTTAGCAATACCTTTCAGTTGTCTCAGATACTAATTCTTTAAACTACTTTTACAGGGTCACAAAGTAATATTCATTTGGTCTTCACTTTTGTTTTCAAACCTTGCTAGGAATTGGTGTCAAGATAAAGTGGTATGTAGTGACAACATTAGGGAGACATGGGAAAGGACTTGTATGATTAAACTGGATTTAATCCTGAGTAACCAGGCATGCTTAAGTAAAACCAGTTTGCTAAGTAGGCTATAAACCTTTGACCCCACCAAAAAAATGATCTTTAAATGAGGTGTGATCTCAGCATATGTCTTACTCAATGAGCTTTTGATTTTTCATAAGATTTCATGCAACAAAGAATTAAAGCTTTCACATCTAGGTACAGATTTTTGAAAGGGGACTGGAATCGCCCTCTTGTAGACACTTTTCAGTTACTTTGAAATACTAAATTCAGCTCTTAAGAGAAGCACACTGTTGTGGTTTTGTTTGTTTTAGTTGGACTTTGACTCATTTTGATGTAGATACCTTTAAACTGTGACTGTTTGGGCCAGGCACCGCCGTGGCTTACGCCTGTAATCTCAGCCCTTTGGGAGGCCGAGGCAGAAGAATCACTTGAACCTGGGAGGCAGAGGTTGCAGTGAGCCGAGATCGCGAGCCTGGGCAACAAGAGCCAAACTCCGTCTCAAAAAAAAAAAAAAAAACCCACGAAAAAACAAAACAAAACAAAACCCAACAACAAAACAAAAAACTCCGAATACTTGAAGTGGCCAGAGTTGGGAGTGAAAATAAGAAATATATTATTGTATTTTCATGCTAAAGTTTGATGATAATGCCAACACCCAAGGTATAGCAGAAGCTAACGAAGTGGAGATGGGGCAGTGGAAACAGGTATTTCCCCTCCCCACCCAAGGCAATAAGGGAATCCATTTTCTACAGAGAATTGAAAAACAATAATAAAACGTAGTATGTTTGCTTTCTATTAGTGCCGTATGCCTAAAGTTCTAAATAGTGTCAGTGATAAAAATGCTAAACAATATTAGTGATGAAATACTCCCTCTCTCACTGTCCAAATACACCACTGCTGTATTTGGAAGATGGAATTTGACTAACGCCATATATGAATCTATTCCTGTGTAGTGTAGCAGGATTCTGTTGTATCCAGATGACCACTATATTAAATTCTGTTCTTCCAGTATATGTTTGTAAAATTAACTAAGTATATATTTGTAAAATTAAAGAATTTAACAGTTGTTAAATTAGTTTTGACGAGGAAATTGGCAATATGGTTTTCAGTGATGACACATTGTGGATGAATATAGAACACTGTCATATACGTATATGCATATGCATGTCTCAGATAAGATCTTGAAATCCTTTTTTTTTTTTTTTTTTTTTTTTTGAGACAGAGTAGCTCTGTAGCCCAGGCTGGAATGCAGTGGTGCAATCTTGGCTCACTGCAACTTCCGCCTCCTGGGTTCAAGTGATTCTTCTGCCTTGGCCTCCCTCGTAGCTGGGACTACAGGCGCGCACCACTAGGCCTGGCTAATTTTTGTATTTTCAGTAGAGAAAGGGTTTCACCATAATGGATAGGCTGGTCTTGAACTCCTGACCTCGTGATCTGCCCACCTCGCCTTCCCAAAGTGCTGGGATTACAGGAGTGAACCATCGTGCCCGGCCAAGATCTTGAAATCTTTAAAGAGCAAATTAAATGGTAAAAGAAATTAACTTAGCAAAAATGTCATGTTAGGTACAATTCTCACATGTCTTTGCTTTTGCATTATTTGATACATAATTTAATCTTTCTGCCTTTTGTTACTTGGTACAAATCAGTGCTGAATCCCCTCTTTTGGCTGTTACTATGTATCAGGTGTTGTAAACTAATGTTTACCATAATTTGGATAATAAACCTACCATTTGGGGAGACAGTGAAGCAAAAAGAGATACTTTTTTTCCCAAATGGAGTATTGGTAATTATTTGTTTTAATTATTCTCAATTTTGCAGATAATTGGGTTAATGTCATTTTAAAAATTGTACTTGTTTTTGACTAGATGGGTATATGCTTTTGAATTATTGCTAATATCATACTAATTCCTTTTTGTTAAATGTGTCTTCATAGATTACACACACTCCGCCTGCAGGAATACTTATCAGGGTTTTAATGGTAAGTATCCTCTTTCAGCTTTTCTCTTCATGCCCATAAAAATATAGTATCAATGTAAAAAGTCAGTTCTACCTATTTCAGTCCTTGTTTTGGTTCTTGATATATCACTTATGTGTTAATATTGTCTTACCATATATAGTATTTGAATTGGGGAATTTGCTATCAGAAAATGTTAGGGGTTATTCACATTAGTTTGATTTTTTTTTTTTTTTTTTTTTGGTCCATTTTGTTTGAATTGTGATTATTTTAATGTGTTCCAAAGGGCCTAACTACATTCTGAGTGATGAATCACAAGACACTGGTTGAGTTATTTTGGTTGAATTAGAGGCTTTGGTATTGAGTAATGTAGACTAAGTGGATTATTGGCTTGGTTCTATGTAGCTTGTGTTGTAATGTATTTTGACTTTGTTTTTGAGGTCATTTTCTTCAGTGTGTCCAGATGTGTTAGTATATAAAGAGCTGTCTAGAGGAGCACATGAAGAAGCTTGATTGTTTATTGACATGAGCATGACATTAGAATTGTGACTGTAGAGCTAGATAGAATCATGAGAGGTATGTAGAATACAATTGGTTGTCATTTTGATAGTTATTAGAGTTAGGGCCCTGCCACACAAGATAATAATACGAAAAAGAACAAAGAACAATCAATACAGGTTAAAAAACATATGAAGGACTTGAGGGAGTGGCATTAAATATCCTGAGTGCCAGAGATGTAAAATCCAACTTTCGTACGGAATAGAATATATTCGCAAAGTAAAACTGAAGCAAATGTACTACTAAAGACTATGCCATTGATGGGAATAATCACTGAACAGTTGATTTTTATTTTAATCGTCTTTAAAGATTAAGATAAACTTTGGATTTCATGTGGGCTAAAAAGTCTTAGCGTATAGGGAGTTAGTACTGAAGAATATATTTGTGAGCTGGAAATTGAAAATTACCAAAGGAAGTTTAATTTGCATCCACATGTAGGTTATATTGAAAACTGGAAAATTAACGAGAAAGCCGTTTCATAAGTTTTGATATAAAGATTTTAAGACCTTGAACTTGGGAGGTGATAGTAGTAATCTTAAAAATAAAGAGCAAATTAGCAGAACTTGCAGGCTGACTAGTAATGGGCAGAAAATTGAGAGGGTTGAATAAAAACGAATCCAGAATTTTAAACTGGAATGTAGGACTAGTGCTTTTACAAGGGAGAGGGGGAGGGGAAGGGGAAGAGGGAGATAATTTGTAATGATAAAAGGCCATCTAGGATTTACTGGATAGTTGGATTTAATGTCTAAACATAGGACTTGAAATGCAGACTCATGCAGGGCTAGACATTTATTTATTATACGGTGTTGCAATAAGATCTAATATTATGACTTTTATTTTTTCTCCTAATTTTAGTTATGATAGTGGTTGTCATCTGAGGGTGATTGTTGGAATCTCCTGGGGAGCTTTTTCAAAGTCTCTCTGTTCAGACATAGCCTATACCTCTTGAATCTTAATTTCCATGCAAGTGGTCTTTGGCTGTGTATGTTGTGCAAAACCACTCTGATTTTGGAAGGCACCTCTGATTAAAGGCCAATGCTTGACAGTACTTCTAGGTCTAGATTATTTATATTTTACAAATGAGGAACTTAATTTCAGGGATTCTATTTGACATTGCTCAGCGAATATTTAGTGCCTGCTGGGCATCAGATATCATTCTAGGAGGTGGGAATATAGCAGTGAACAAAATGGACAAATATTCCTGCCTTTGTGAGGCTTTCAGTCTAGTGGGATGAAATAGTAAACAAGATAAGAAATAATATATATGTCATAATTTAGTCCACAGGGGAAAAAAGGAGTAATATATATTGTATGTTAGATGATGATCATTGCTAGGGAGAATAACAGAGAAGGAGGATAAATGTGTGTGTGTACTTGTATGTGTTGCAGTTTTAGAGTCTCTGGGGAGGGACTCACTAAAAAGATGATATTTGAGCATAGATTTAAGATAGGTGAGTATGAAAGCCATGAAGCTATTTAGAGGAAGACTTATAGGCTTTAAGAAATAAACAATGCATAGGTACCAAAAAACCAAAAATATGTTTTATTGTTAGCACTGTATTTTCTAGGAAGTGAAATGAAGTAGAAGGCATTGGAAAACATGGCACGGTACAGATTTTCCCCACACTATTTCTTGGAAGGAATATGTATTTCCAGTGTCTCCATATTTTCCTTCTTGCTTCATAATACCTTTTATATAAATAGCATATAGAAAAAGGGAGAGAAAAGGGTGCACTAGCTCATGCCTGTAATCCTAGTGCTTTGGGAGCCTGAGGTAGGAGCACTGCTTGAGGCCAGGTGATTGAAACCAGCCTGGGCAACATAGTGAGACCCTGTCTCTACAAAAAAAATTTTTTTTTTTTTTTTTTTTTGAGACTGAGTCTTGCTCTGTCACCTGGGCTGGAGTGCGGTGGCGGAATCTCAGCTCACTGCAAGCTCCGCCTCCGGGTTTACGCCATTCTCCTGCCTCAGCCTCCCGTGTAGCTAGGACTCCAGGCGCCCGCCACCTCGCCCAGCTAGTTTTTTGTATTTTTTAGTAGAGACGGGGTTTCACCGTGTTAGCCAGGATGGTCTCGATCTCCTGACCTCGTGATCTGCCCGTCTCGGCCTCCCAAAGTGCTGGGATTATAGGCTTGAGCCACCGCGCCCAGCCCAAAAAAAAAATTTTTTTTTAAAATTAGCCAGGCGTAGTGGTGCCCCCCTATAGTTCCAGTTACTCCAGAGGCTGAGATGAGAGGATTGATTGAGCCCAGGAGGTGAAGGCTGCAGTGAGCTATGATTGTGCCACTGCAGTCCAGCCTGGGTGACAGAGCAAGACCTTAACGCTGGCTTGACTAGAACAGATGATTTTTTTGCTGAGCAATCTTAAGACAAGGTTAGAGTGTTGAGGTGTAGCCAGAAAGCATTGAAAATCAAAGATAATTTGCTTATATATCAGAAGCAATAGCAAGTGAAGACCTGAAAAAGTTGAGGGAGTAAACAGAGCAGGTTCAGGGGAATGAGCATTCCAGGCAGAGGGAACAGCAGCTGCCAAAATGGGTATACACCTTGTGTTCTAGAAACATCAAGGGACCTGGTGTTGTAGGAGTGGAGTGAACAGGGATGTATAAAATTGATAATGAAGTTAAGAGGTGCTGAGGCAGATCATGTAGGGCAGGGTTTCTCAAATTTCTTACATTTTGGACTGGGTAATTTTTTGTTGTAGGGGTATGTCCTGTGCATTGTAGAACTTTTAACAGCCTTCTTGGCCTCTATATGCGAGATGTCAGTAGCATCTGCCCCCTAGTTGTGACATCCAAAAATGTTTCAGACATTGCCAGTGTCCCCAGGGGGTGCAAAATCTCCCCTAGTTAAAACCACTGGTATAGGTTCTTATGTGTTATTTTAAGCTTTGGCTTTTACTTGGAATAATAGGAAGCCATTGGAGGTTACTGAGCATTGAACATGGTTGAACTTACATTTTATCAGAATTATTCTGGCTATTGTCTTCAGAATAAACAGCAAAGGAGCAAAAGTGGAGCAGGAAAACCAGTTAGGAGACTTTTGCAGTAACCTAGGTGGTAGATGCTGGTATCTTGTAGTAGGGTGCTGGTAGTGTAGAGTTGCTAAAAAGTAGTCCCACTCAAGACTTAATGTCACATAGCTAGTTATTTTGGTTATAGGTCAGGTTTTAATTTTTTTTTTTTTTTTTTTTTTAAGATGGAGTTTCTCTCTTGTGGCCCAGGCTAGAGTGCAGTGGCGCCATCTCAGCTCACTGCAACCTCTGCCTCATGGATTCAAGCGATTCTCCTGACTCAGCCTCCTGAGTAGCTGGGATTACAGGCTCCCACCACCACGCCCGGCTAATTTTTTTTGTATTTTTTAGTAGAGACGGAGTTTTACCATGTTGGTCAGACTGGTCTTGAACTCCTGACTTCAGCTGATCCACCTACCTTGGCCTCCCAAAGGGTTGGGGTTACAGGTGTGAGCCACCTTGCCCAGCCCATAGGTCAGTTTTTCCCCCAGTATTTTGCAGCTACTTCTTTGTGTTTTAATTAAAAATGAGTTTTAGCATTTTTGAGCATGTATTTGATTTAAATTATTAGGTCAGTTTTATTTTTGTTGGTAAATTACTTTCATTTAAGAGATACTACTATGTTCTCACAGTTTTATTTTTAAAAGGGATTTTAAAATTCATTTTGGTGACTGGAAGAAAAATTTATATAAAAGCAGTCATCTTACAGAATCTATAGCCCTATAACTACACTGTATACAATATAAAGACTTTTCCTCCTGTTTAAATGAGTAGTAACAGTTCTATGAGTAATCAACCAGAATCATTGCTATATAAAAGTAGCTTTATTAATTTTTGTACATTTCAGAGTATCTAACATATACATGGTTAGTGTGCAATAAATGTTAATAATTTTGATTATAGTGAAACAAAAATAGAATCAAAACTGAAGGTTTTAGTATTCAAAGGCAGCCAATGCTAACTCAAAATAGAAACTAGCAGAAATAAAACATAAGATTTTTTCCTCTGTGTACCTGATTAAACATAATCTTATTTTTAAATATGAGGCCTTAGAGGAAAACTTTCCATTTTTAAAACTTTATTTTAATCTTAGAATTATCCTCTAATATATGAGCATAAATTTACTATATACTTACCAACTTTATCACAAAAAATTAACTATTTTATTAATCTGGGACTGTGTTGTCCAGTTTGGTAGCTGCTAGCTACATGTTCCTATTTAGCACTTAAAACATGGATAGTCTGAATTGAGGTGCTCTGTAAGTGTAAATTACACACCAGATTTGAAGTCTTCAAATGAAAAAAGCCGTAAAATATCTCCATATGTTTTGTGTATTGATAAACTTTCTGTACTGTTATATTAAAACCCATTAGTATGTCTTGTACTTTGAATGGATCTTTTTTACCATACATTATTTTGTAATATCGACATTATTTGGAAAATAGTGGTTTTTATATAAAATGCAGATTTTCCAAATATTGATAGGTTTTATGGCACAATATTTAAAAAATCATATTCAGTAATACCACCACCAGCCTTATCAGAAAGTCTGTAAGTATTGGGAAGCTGTCAAGCTCACGGTGGTAGATACAACTTTTAAAAAATTCTCATGTTCACTTGAAAGCATGAATTTTATCATTGACAACAAATAATGTCAGCTGTTTTTGTTAAAACAATGGTTTCACTTAGTTCATTTTTTTTTTTTCCTTTGAGATGAGTCTTGCTCTGTTGCCCAGTCTGGTGTGCAGTGGTGTGATCTCAGCTCACTGCAAGCTCCGCCTCCCAGGTTCACACCATTCTCCTGTCTCAGCCTCCAGAGTAACTGGGACTACAGTCGCCCGCCGCCATGCCTGGCTAATTTTTTGTATTTTTAGTAGAGACAAAGTTTCACCGTGTTCGCCAGGATGGTCTCGATCTCCTGACCTCGTGATCCACCCACTTCGGCCTTCCAAAGTGCTGGGATTACAGGCGTGAGCTACCTCGCCAGGTCACACTTAGTTCATTTTTAAGAAAATATCTGCCAAATGCCCAAATCTGAAAACCATCGTATTTGTCTGTCAGTCTTTCTAGTAAAAAGAGTGTTCCTTGTAAAAAGTGGCTGATTTAATTCACAAACCAAACACTTGCACAATAGCTTTTCCTGGGAGAGCTATGGTACTTTGGTAGGCAGCCAAATTGCTTGATATGTTTTCCCTTTCATTACAGAGAATATAAAAAAAGGTGTACTTAAAGGTCATGTTTTAATAAAATTGATAATTCTTACTGCTTCGTCAAGGACATTCTGAGGAGAAATTGGCATTTGTATTTTATTATTTTTACTGTGAGCGTGTAATGTTAAAGAATGTAATGACGCCGGGCGCGGTGGCTCAAGCCTGTAATCCCAGCACTTTGGGAGGCTGAGACGGGCGGATCACGAGGTCAGGAGATCGAGACCATCCTGGCTAACACGGTGAAACCCCATATCTACTGAAAAATACAAAAAACTAGCCGGGCGAGGTGGCGGGCGCCTGTAGTCCCAGCTACTGAGGCGGGAGAATGGCGTAAAGCCGGGAGGCGGAGCTTGCAGTGAGCTGAGATCCGACCACTGCACTCCAAGCCTGGGCGACAGAGAGAGACTCCGTCTCAAAAAAAAAAAAAAAAAAAAAAGAACGTAATGACTACCAGTACAATCTGTTGCCACTGCCTTGATCTGTGCTAGGTCACCAGCATTTTTATTCATCAGTGCTTTTGCACCTTCTGTGCAAGTGTCAACTCTGAAAAAGGCAAATAATTTTCAGGTGTTATTTATGAAAATATTTTGACCTTGTGGATCCCCAGAAAGGTTTTCAGCAACTCCCAGTTGTCAGCAGCTGCCTTGGCAACTGCTGTTCTAAGATAAAAATTGGACTTTACCACAGGACTAGTAAATTTAAGATGAGGCCACAAATGGCAGAGTAAGGCAGAGTATCACAAGCACCACGTGAGAGTTATAGGCTTTTGTGCCTATAACATTCAGAAGAAAGATGACACTCAGCTGAGAGAGGATCAGTAAAAGTTTTCTTGAATATATTAGTATTTGAAATGGACTTTAAAAGATTAGAAAGTTTCAGTAGGCCGCTATTTAGGGTAGTAGAGGAAAATATTTCATGTAGAAGTGATAGCATGAGACTAGACAAGAGGATATGTATGGAATTTTGGGAAAATCATTTCATCTCTTTGGACTTCAGTTCCCCATGTCTATAAAATGAGAGGATTGATTTTGAACATTTAGGTTGCTACCAGGTTTAAAGTTGGATGACTTTGAGTACTAGTTTTATAAAGTTGTTATTGTTGTCATTATTATTATTGTTAGGACTAGAGATATTTAAATGATTATATAAAATTTAATGTTTTAAAAATGTAAATTAAGGTATTTACTCTGTGTGTACCATTGTATTTATTTGTGTATCACATTTGGGGAGGATAGTAATGAGGGATTTTTAAAGTACTTTATAGAAAACAAATTCTAAATGTTTGTTTTACTTTCTGATTTTTATAGTCATCCTAAATTGATTTTGTTACCTCTTTTGTTGTATTTATTTTTCATATCAGAAGTTGGTATATAGGCAGAATTGCAGTGTAATAAAATAGACAATATGCTTATTGTGTCTTAGTTTTTTTTTTTTTTTTTTTTTTTAGTGTTCACATTGCTAGAATTTGCATTCATTTGTTGAGTCATCATTTATAGGCACAGTGCCATAGATTGGTCTCACTCTGTGATTTTACTTTTTAAAAATGTCTATTTCAATTACTGTGAACAAGGCTAATTGGAAACGTGGCTGCTTCTGAGTTTTCAGACATTTAGAGAGGAGTTAGATGCATAAAACAAGTATAGTCTACTGCTGTCATATAGGACAAAAATTTCCCCTTTGACATTATTAAATGCTGACTTCTCTTAAGAATAGGAATTATGTATCATTAATTATATATGCTATAGTACTTAATACAAGGCCTTATAGTAGTCCCCTAGTCAAATAAATTTGGTTAAATTGAAAATAATTCTGTGGCCAGGTGCAGTGACTCATGCCTCTAATCCCAGCACTTTGGGAGGCCAAGGCGGGTGGATTGTTTGAGCCCAGGAGCTCAAAACCAGCCTGGGCAATACGGTGAAAGCCCATCTCTATCAAAAATACAAAAATTAGCCAGTCTCATAACCAGTCTCAAAAGAAAATCAAAAAAGAAAATAATTCTAAGGTAGAACTTTTAGTTGAAAATATGTTTTTCTTTGAAATATCAGGCTTTTTTTTTAAGCAAATTTGATTTAGTAGCTTCTCATCTTTGTGTTTTTCCCTTCAGCATTTAGTGTGAATTTAGTTTAAATGTTAATGGTAAATTATTATCTCAGGAGATAGATAGGAATATCTTGTGTTTTGTGCAAAGATCCCTGAAGAAAATGGTGTATTTTACTGACAATTTCTTATTGACTCTCTTTTAGGAATGGATCGTGATTATGGCCCTGGATCTTACGGAGGTCTGACATTCAAGGATATTTATCTAAAAATTCTTCTTTTGAGTGCCAGTGAAGGTGAGCATCATATAACTTTTTTCTTTTTAAACTCTTATAGGGATGGATCGTGACTATGGCCATGGATCCTATGGGGGTCAGAGATCCATGGAGTCCTACCTAAACCAGTCATATGGCATGGACAATCACAGTGGTGGTGGTGGGGGTAGCAGGTAAATTGCTTAATCATTTGGCCAAATAATTAGACAACTATAAGATTCTGGATATATTAAGTATTCTTTAGGCATGTTATGATACTTGAACTTCACTGTTTGCTACTGAATCATCACCTTAAATGTTTAAAGGTGTTAATTAATGGGATAAAATTTAAATCAGGATTACTGGCAGACATTATTTTAGGAAAACACCAGATAACTATATCATGTCAATACAATAGAGTAAGATACTCTGTTTTTAGCAGTGAACTTTTAAAAAATTCTTTTACTTCTAACTTCTTGTCAATCAAAATATCCTGAAAAATGATATAAAAATGTTATTGAAAATATTATTTATGAAGCTTTTTCTTAATAATTAAAAAAAATCTTTTCTAATGTGGGGTGCTATGTAAATTAGCAAAGCAGTCTGACTAGAATGGATTTTACTGAAACAGTCTAACATTTGCTTTCTAAGAAACATTCAAGACATATTCCTTTAATTCTAATTTTAAAGGAAGAGCATATTGCAATAATATAAATATTTTTAAAATTATGTTCAGGTTATTTATTGGCAGGTACTACTTACACCAAAGCACTTGTGCTCTAGGCTAGGAGCATTGTATTAAAGCCATGAATACTATACCTTTTACTAGTCTAGATTGTATTTATACTGTTACTACTGTATAAAGCTTAAACCTACTTAAACAACTACAAGCTTTAAGGTTGACCATATTTCAGGAGAACGGGTGTCTGCTTTTTGAGGCACAAAGGTTGCTGCTGAATATAAGTAAAACTAGTTAGTAGACATGTGAAACAGTCATCCTTCTTCATAAATTGAAGGATCCGGATTCCTTAATGATGGACTGAATGATGCTTACTTTCCTTCTTTCTGCTTCCAGTGTGCCACTATGATTTATAGTAAAGAAAAATTAAGAAACTGAACAGTTGCAACTATTTTGCTTATGTGATAGATGTTTTGAAAAATGTAGTTGGAAATAGGAATAATTTTTATATGGTTACTAGGATTCAGAAGTAAATACTACCTTCTATTTAGTGATCTGTAAATAATTGAAGTAATGTAACACTTAATGTTTTAATATGTCAGTTATTGCCCTTTTATATTGTGAATGTAATGTGCATAAGCTATTTCTGTAGATGTTATTGTTTTATCTCATGTGTAATTGTGGGTCTTTATAAAATTGTGTTGTAAGATATCAAGCAACTTTTGTAATCCATGCTTTGGGTTTGTGAGAAGGAAGATGATTTATTTCTTCTGTTAACTCTCTTAAAACCTCGAGGAGACTGTGTGCTCCCTTTTTAAGGATAGTTTTATGTGATAATTTCCTGAAGAATATAATTTTTCAAATAATCGAATATATTATAAGATGTATTCTTTTTCATCTGCCTTGAAAATTCATATGCAGAGGGTATATGTTGGTGATCTTTTACTTTTATGTTTTATCTGTTTATCCTTCTAGATTTGTTAGATTTTCTAGTCTACAAGTAAAAAGTGATTGAGGATTGATTAATTGACCTTGGCTGAAATTTGGCAGATTGTCAAATTTTTATAACCAGAGATAATTCCCCAAATTTTGACGCCTACAGACACAATGAAGCAGTTTGTGATATAGATTATTGGGAGTGCAAAAGGATCTCTCTGTGTCACAAATAACCTACATCTAAGTAGTCTTCAATTTGTGTCCCTATTGAAAGCCAAAATGTTGTAAATGTTTTGTAATTTTTAATAATAGAGATAGATTCAAAAACGTTTGAATAGTTTGTGAACTTTAGCAAATGACCTTTTCCAAGACTAGGGCTGGGCTTAAATAATGACAGACAAATCTTTTCTTCTTCATAAAATAGAAAAGCTGCTAAGAAGCAGATTTTTAAGCTAAGTTTTACTAAACTCAATTCATGTTTAGAATCTGACTCAGATAGCTTTCTATCTGGTCTCACGTTGAACTGCCCAGCCCTAATCAAGTGTGAACAAAAGTAGAACTGTGCAAACCAGTATGGTATAAATGAATTTTAGTTGATAAATGTCATCTGATAATTTGTCTTTTGAATTGTCTAACATTAGTAAGCTTACTTTTGTTTTTTCCCTCACTGTGCAACTTTTCCAGGTTTGGACCTTATGAGTCTTACGACTCCAGGTCTTCTCTGGGTGGGCGAGATCTGTACAGATCTGGCTATGGTTTTAATGAACCCGAACAAAGCCGCTTCGGAGGTAGTTATGGTGGTCGATTTGAGAGCTCCTACCGGAATAGCCTTGACTCTTTCGGAGGTAGAAACCAGGGCGGGTCTAGCTGGGAAGCACCTTACTCCCGTTCAAAATTGAGGCCTGGGTTTATGGAGGACAGAGGAAGAGAGAATTACTCTTCCTACAGCAGTTTTTCTTCACCCCATATGAAGCCTGCACCTGTAGGCTCTCGGGGGAGAGGAACGCCTGCTTATCCTGAAAGTACGTTTGGAAGCAGAAACTATGATGCTTTTGGAGGACCATCAACAGGCAGAGGCCGAGGCCGAGGAGTAAGTACAACAGAATCTTTTCAGATTCTTTTCACTAGTCACTCTTTTAAACCCTTTCAAGACCATCGCTTTCAACTAGAATAAACACTGTTCATCCCAGTGTATTTTGAAGCAAAAGCTGAGTCATAAACATAATTTTTAGGTTGACTGTAAAAGTTTTTCCAGCACCTCAGAAAATAAGTGGCAGTTTGAGATGATCATAAAGTTGTGCCAAATCTCCCTTTATTAAAAAGGTGAGGCTGTTAGGTTTGGTCTAAAAGGGGTTAAAAGGAGTTGCATTTTTCCTTGTAAACACTAGCAGTGTTGCTGGTGGAATAGTTTGTGGATTATTGTGAAAGGTCACTGAACCCTTTTTGAGTTTTTGAGTAGGTTAAAGGTGCAATGTATGATAAAATGTTTATACTTTGTTGCTAAACTCTAGCAAGTAGAATTTCTTCAAAGCTCCATGTTTCACATTAAACACAAGAGACTAAAAGTTGATGGTAGATCAGGATAGCTTAGCCATGTTTATGTGGTGAAGAAGTTGATGTGTATAATAGATTGTACAATGATTTGTGGTCAGTGTAATTTTGCTAACTCACTCTTACAATATGTCCAATTGCCGGTTGTTTAATTTTCCCTCGTGTTACTAGTTTTACTCTTGAGAAATAATTTTCACCTGTACAGATACGTTTATGATTTCTTCTTAGGAAGTAATATTTTGTAAATTATTGCTAAAATGAGTAAATATACTAGTCTACAATTGTTTAACGTTAGGGTGCATAGTGTAAACATTATGCTTTGTGTTCTTAGGTCACTTGATTGACATGAAATTTTACCTAGTAAGTGTGTGTAGATTGTGGGGTTGTTATATAGTTGATCATTTAAAGAGTGTTGTGTTTTTGTTATAATGTAAGAATCCTTTTAAGTCAGCTGCTCTTAATATTTTCTTTGCAGAGGAAAGTATTTATAGTAAAAAATGTAGTAGGATACATACACGTTTTTGACTGGTTATTAACCTTTGGTGTGTCAGTGTAGCTTGTTATACTTGTGTAGAAATTTTGCATTTTTAACAGTTACTCTTTACTTATGTAAAAATGCATTGCACCTTTAATGTGTAATTAAGGAAGGTTTTCCTGATACGACTTTTTAAATTACCTGGAAACACAACTAGGTTAGCTAGGCATTCCTAAGCATAGTATACAAATGTAAGCAACTAATACATTACAGTCCCACTATACTTCATGATCATAGGTTAATTGAAAATAGTTGGGATGACAGGCTTTGGGTTTTGAATTGAAAATCCATTCTAGTTTGAAAATTTGGAAAACACTTAATATTTTCCATGCTGTATATTATTTTAGGCAAAGTATGTTTTCTTAATGAGGCTTCAAAAGTAAATTTCGTTTTCATAATAGTAAAGCAAGTATTCTTGTACTTTGTATTTACCATTCTAGTCTGAATGGACTTTTCTTTCTTTCCTTCTGTTAGTGAAGTAGATGAGCCAATAGGACCTACATTTTAAATCTTCACTTGTACAATTTCCCTTGGGTCCTTCTCTTCAGATTACTCCTCCATCTTTATCTTCTAAAAGTAAGATTAGCAGAATAAATTTCTGTGGACATGTGGCCTCTTGGTGTAGATTTGGATAATGACAAGAGAAGAGGAAGGGACACAAAGAGTCGTTTGGTTGCATGACTCTTCATCTGTAAACTTTTGTTTCTTGGGCTTCGGGGTCAGATAATGTTTCTCTAGGTAAGAATGTGAATGGAACGTCAGATGCAATTCTTTATCTGAAGTGTGTCTTGGAAGTTGATGCATGGTTATGCTTTAACTCTCCTATTTCATACTAATGTTCCATCTCGCCTTCTCATTCCCTTTTTCAACAGGGAGAATACTAAATGATTTCTGGATCTTTTTTACTTCAAACTACAAATATGGTCTTCTTTGTGTATCTTAGTTTTAAGCCAGGTTTTAGTAAAATAAAGATTTCTTTTAGGGTCTTTTCATGGGAAAACATCAATTAGGAACTCTGAAGAGGAGTTGTCAGAGAGTTGTACAAGTGGTAACATTTGGAGAGGCACATATGTTGTCTATAATCTCAAGTAATTTTGAAATGTAAAAGTAAAAACATAGGTAGCAAATATTCATTATTTGTTCTACTGGAAATAAAAATACTAATTCAATGGATTTGAGTTTATGTAATAATTTACAGAGTTTTTCAATGTGTTTTTTCAGAATGGACATGTAAAATTTAGTTACATTCCAGGGAATTTTCAGGTGAAAATTAGTAGATAGTTAACGTGAAAATTTTATATGAATTCATAGTTTTTCTCGGACAATATGCTAATACTTATTGATTTCACAAATTTACAGCATATGGGTGATTTTGGAAGCATTCATAGACCTGGAATTGTTGTTGACTATCAAAACAAATCCACCAATGTGACAGTTGCTGCTGCAAGAGGAATAAAGAGAAAAATGATGCAGCCGTTTAATAAGCCCAGTGGAACCTTTATCAAGAAACCCAAACTAGCAAAACCTATGGAGAAGATAAGCCTCAGCAAATCACCCAGTAAGAAAACATAATTGCTATGATTCAGGATACTTTTTATTTTTTTTAATTCCATACTTTTAGGTAATTTTTTCATGTTTATATACTAAAACTACTTAACAATTGCGATTGTAGAAATTAGATCTGTAAATTCCCTATTGCAGTTAATAATTGGTCATGAATACCCAAAGATACTTTAAAAATGTACATACCCTGGTCCATTCCTTTTTCCTGAATCCTGTGTGGTGGTGTATCAAACCCTCTACAGCTGAGAAAACAGGCATAAGATAGATAAATAATTTGCTGCCTAGGTCAAACAACCAGTAAATGGTAATGCTAGGATATATTCCAGAGCAAGTAATGCTCTAGAAATCCTGTTCTTAAACCTCCTTATGATTGTAACAGAAATTTGCTTTGTATTCATTTTTCCCTTTTATTTTAAAATAACTTTTTTCCCTGATTATAACATTATAGACATTTTATTATGTAATATTTGAAAAAACTGAAATTGCAATGTTAGATTCTTTCCTCAACATATATTTTCTATAATATAAAATTTGAGAAAAGTTTAAAAATTGTACTTAAATTACTTTCTCATCATGCCTTATTGTTTAATAAGAAACAATATTCTGGAATTTCTGGAATTCCTGAAATTCTGGAAACCTGATACTAAGCAGAGTATGTGTTGTGGGGATACCTTTAACAATGTGTCAGTTGATAGACTGTTATGTATCAAATTTGAAATTTTATTAGACGTTACTATAATAGAAAATTCAGTTGATTCTCTTGGGACCTATTTCAAAGATGTATTTTGCGTGTATAGTTAAATATTGCAAAAGTTTGATAAAGAAACTGATTTGCCATTAAAGCAGATAATATGTATCCCTCCCCCATACCTTCTTTTTTATATAACAAAACTTGAGAATAGTGTTGTATAGCTAAGAATGAAACTCAGATTCTTTAATTAAATTATGGCTTCTCTGTCAGGTGTAAAATGGGCGTTTAAAAAGATGATTGCTGAATTTTCCTCAATACAAGGTCTTGCTATGCTGTAGCATAGACTGTGACTTTATAGAAAATTAGTAGGGAAGGAACCCTATTCTGTCACTTGGCTAGAAGTACAACATGTTATAGTTTTAGCATATGAAAGGAAGATTAAATTACTTATTTGAGGTAATATATAAATAAGTAGATTTTTCAAAGGCCATCTATAAGCAGTGCATAAAAGGAAAAATTTAAGGGCAAATCATTAAGTTTTTTCTTTTTTTTTAAGTATAAAGTTAAATGTATTACAAGAAGGAACCTGCTCACAATGAGATACCACTCCATACCCACTAGGATAGTCATAATAATAAAAGGAAAATAACAAGGGTTGACAAGGATATGGGGATATTGGAACCTTCACACATTATTGATGGGAATGTAAAGCAGTGAAGCCACTGTGGGAAGCAGATTGGTGCTTCCTGAAACAATTAAACATAGACTGTCCATATGATCCAGCAATTCTACTTCTAGGTGTTCTTCTACTCCAAAGAATTTAAAATAGTATTCAAACAAAAATTTATTTATTTATTTTTATTTTTGAGACAGGATCTCACTCTGTTGCCCGGGCTGAGGTGCAGTGGCGCAGTCTTGGCTTGCTGCAACCTCCGCCCCTGGGTTCAAGCAATTCTCATTCCTCAGCCTCCTGAGTAACTAGGACTACAGATGTGCACCACCACACCCAGTTAATTGTTGCATCTTGAGTAGAGATGGTTTTGCCATGTTGTCCAGGCTGGTCTCGAACTCCTGGCTTCAAGTGATCCATCCGCCTCAGCCTCCTGAAGTGCTAAGATTACAGGCATGAGCCACTGTGCCTGGCCCAAACAAAAATTTATATATGAATGTTTATAGTGGCATTATTCATAGTAGTCAAAAGGTAGAAACTATTGAAATACACATCAACAGATGAATGGTTTTAAAAATGTGGAATATTCATATAATGGAATATTATTGAACCATAAAAAAGAAGGAAGTACTTACTAATACATGGCACAACATGGGTGAGCTGTGAAAACATGCTAAATAAAAGTCAGACCAAAAAGGCAACAGACAGGATGATTCTAGGTATACGAAATACCTAGAGTAGGCAAATCCGTAGATCAGAAAGCAGATTAGTGGTTACCAGGGCCTTAGGGTAGGGTTGAAATGGGGAGTGACTGCTTTAGGGGTTGATGAAAAGTTCTGTAACTAGATAGTGGAGATGGTTGCATAACTTTGTGAATGTACTTAATGCCATTGAATTGCACATTTTAAAATGGTTAAACTAGTAAATCTTATGTTTTATGTATTTTATCACAATAGAGAATTTTTTTTTGAGACGGAGTCTCGCTCTGTCCCCCAGGCTGGAGTGCAGTGGCCAGATCCCAGCTCACTGCAAACTCCGCCTCCCAGGTTTACGCCATTCTCCTGCCTCAGCCTCCCGAGTAGCTGGGACTACAGGCGCCCGCCACCTCACTGTGCTAGTTTTTTGTATTTTTTAGTAGAGACAGGGTTTCACCGGGTTAGCCAGGATGGTCTCGATCTCCTGACCTCGTGATCCACCCGTCTCGGCTTCCCAAAGTGCTGAGATTACAGGCTTGAGCCACTGTGCCTGGCCTACAATAGACAATTTTTTAAAAAAAGAGAACAGATGTGCTTTTATTTTGGAGATTATAAATTTTAAGAAACTTTCCGAGAGCTCCTACAATATGAACATGAGTTCTTGCATCCAGGTCTCTGCAGTGTTTACTGGACTTCCATTTTCATGCTGGGGCAGGTTGCTTTAGTGTTTCCCAAAGTATATGGTGCCCAAGATAATTTTAGGTGATAAGGATATTATTGCTTAGAATAGGGAGAGGACAAATGAGCAGATTTAAAGAAAAATATGAAGCAAATAATCACATAGATGACAAGCAGATATGACGGAATTCGTGATGATGGTTTTCAAATGAATGAAGTTAATTTAGTGAAGTTTAAGAAATACTGGATAGTCTCAAACTCCGATTTTTTCAGTGAGTTCAATTTTAGATTACAATCACTAAGTAAACCTCATAAGTATGTACTTTATGAACTGATGATTGGAAAGAGAGAATGGAAAAATGAATTTTAGCTTTTACTTTTTTGTGTGATATCCTAGCAAAAACTGATCCTAAAAATGAAGAGGAAGAAAAGCGACGAATTGAGGCTCGGAGAGAGAAACAAAGGCGCAGAAGAGAAAAAAACAGTGAGAAATATGGAGATGGATACAGGTTTGTGCTTAGAGTCAGAAAATTGGGCTCATTAAAAAATGATTACCTAGAAAAGGCAGAAACATCAATTGTAATGTGAAAAAGTTCTTAAGATTCAAATGAAAAGGCTTGTTCAAAGATATAGAGGAATGCTTTTGATTTTTCATATTTATATGTAATCACTACTTAGAAAACATAAGAAAAAAGGCATTCTATTTATAATGGCAATCCAGAAATATAAAATATCCAGAAATAACAGCATTCTTAAAAAGATGTACTTGTCATTGAGGTTTGACTATATGGAGACAGTGATTTTCATGGGCAGGAACTAAATATTACAAATATGTAAGTTCTTTCCAATCCAGATCCCAAAGGAAATTCTGAAGAAGAGTAAATGGGTAGGTACTGACTTTTTTTTTTCTTTTTTTTGAGACGGAGTCTTGCTCTGTCGCCCAGGCTGGAGTGCAATGGTTGGATCTCAGCTCACTGCAAGCTCCGCCTCCTGGGTTTATGGCATTCTCCTGCCTCAGTCTCCTGAGTAGCTGGGACTACAGGCGCCCACCACCACGCCTGGCTAGTTTTTTGTATTTTTTAGTAGATATGGGGTTTCACCGTGTTAGCCAGGATGGTCTCGATTTCCTGACCTCGTGATCCGCTCGTCTCGGCCTCCCAAAGTGCTGGAATTACAGGCTTGAGCCACCGTGCCCGGCCGGTACTGACTTTTATAGATAATCATTCATTAAAAAGCTGTAATAGTTAAAAATACGTGATAATACACAAAACTAATTACTATACCAGAATTATTAGCCTGTGAGCAGATTGTCAGGAAGAATGTAATATTTAATAAAGATGATATTAGAAATAAGAGGGGAATTGATTGAACAATGAAATAATAACAAAAATAAGTTTAGAGCTTCCTCATATGACACCTGGAATGAATGTAGTTTTAAAAAAAATGAAATTACAGAAAAACAAAATGTTCTGCAAGGAGATTTTTTTCCCAGGCTTAAAAGTTATAGAATAAATTACAAAGGAAATGATGAGCAGATTTGGCTAAATAAAAACTTAAAATTTGAAAGGAAAGCAAACAGACTTGGAAAATATAAACATGAGAAATGATTAATGTCCAAATTAGATTAAAACCTCACCCAAATTATTTTAAAAAGTAATAAAACTAAAATGTTTAATATTAAATATGATAAGGAAACAGCAGCTAGTAATAATTTTAAGGAAATTGTTTAAACTTAACAGTAATTAAAACTAAAAATTTAAATAACAGTATGCCATTTTATTACTAAGGAGAAATTTGATTTGCTGATTAAGGAATGGTCAAAGGACACTTAAAATTTCTTGGTGTATAATAATATTATAACTACTAGAAAGCAATTTAGCAGTTTTAAAAAAAATGTCTTGATTTTTCTTAAAGCCTTGAGCCCTGAAGTTTGAGGCCAGCCTGGGCAACATGGCAAGACCTCATCTCTAAACAAAACAAAACAATCCATAAAAAGAAGAGTAGTTCTAGTTTTAAGAACTACTGCTATTTTTAGTCCTTGTGAGTTCTCTGTCCCACTCATTATCTCTTGTGATTCCTTCTTTTGGTAGAAGCAACAGTCATAGTTATATTTTGGTGTAGAAATGAATTTAAATTATCAGCCTCTTGGAGTGTAAAAATCATTTTACATTGTAAGATGCAATTTTTAAAATTTAATTGCCCTATGAATATTTTTCTCATTAAAAATTTTGGATCTGAATTACATTCATGTTAACATAATCTGGATTATGTTAATGTTAATATAATATATAAAATTGTGATTTGGAGAAAATGAAAGAACTGAACTTTCATTTAGCTATGTTCTCTGTAACTCTAAATATAAATCTGATGATATAACCAAAAGAATGTCAACTCATAAATTATCATTGTAGGATATAATTTCTTTAAAGTAGTCTAGATTATTTTCACTTATCAGAGCAGTTTTACTTTGAGTTATGAGGATTCGAGATTGAGTAAATCACTATTCTTGTGATAGGTTCCTTCCCTTGGATATTTGAATGCTTTCAACATAATAAAGAGCATGGAAAGGTTTATACCTACCCTTAAGGGAACCTAGGGAGAAAGAGATGGATGTGTGAGAGATGTACATAAATAATAGTGTATGATGAAGGATACCAGAAGAGAAGTACAATGTCTCATGAGAAATAACTTCTAAATAAGAATGTAGGAGGCCAAGCGTGGTAGCTCATGCCTGTAATTCCAGCACTTTGGGAGGCCAAGGTGGGTGGATTGCTTGAGCCTAGGAGTTCAAGACCAGCTTGGGCAACATGGTGAAACTTTATTTCTACAAAAAATACAAAAATTAGCCAGGTGTGGTGGCATGTGGCTGTGGTCCCAGCTACTTGGGAGGCTGAGGTGGGAGGATAGCTTGAGCTTGGGAGGTGGAGGTTGCAGTGAGTTGAGTTCGCACCACTGCACTCTATGGCCTGGGCAACAGAGCAAGACTCTGTCTCGAAAAATAAGTAAATAAGGGTGCAGGGAAATCAGGGGAGGTGACCATGATGGATGTGGTATTTGAATTGATCTGGGAATGGTAGGGTTACAGGAGGAGTTGTGAGAGGCAGCCCAGGTAGAGGCCATGGCTTGCCATCAAAGCAAATAAATAGGAATGTGTTATTGTTATTTAGAAAATTGAAAGCAGTGTAGATTGAAGTGACTCTAATGGGGTGAAAGGTATAATCTAATCTAAACGTTTAATGGAGACATGCTGTGCCAGATATTATTAAAGGTATTGGTGAGTAAGCCAAAAAGGAGAGATTAAGAAATTTCCTGAATGGCAGCAAAAACATTTTTGTCTTTGTTTTTTGAGCTTACAGAGCTAATGAAGCCCTTTGAGCAATAATGTGCTCTTACCTGCTATAGGAAGTAACAATAATTAATTGAGTAATTGTATGTTAGAAAATGTTCTAAGGGCTTTGTATGCATTAATTTTTAAAAATCCTCAGACACCTCTGTGAGCGTTCTCATCTCAATGTAAGAAAACCAAGGCCTAGAGAAGTCAAGTAACTTGCCCAAGATCACAAAATGGAATTAGGATATGAACTCGGCAGTTGGCTCCAGAGCTCATACTCTCAACCAGTAAAATAAATCTAGTAGCATTGCAAAGAATTAATTGGAAAATGGAGACTGGAGACAGAAACCAGTTACGTGACTGCTAGCATAATTCAAGGAAAAGAAAATAACGTAAGATAGAAACAGTTATGCTGGGCACAGTGACTCACACCTGTAATCCCAGCACTTTGGGAGGCCGAGGCAGGCGGATCACCTGAGGTCAGGAGTTCAAGACCAGCCTGGCCAAGGTGGCAAAAACCCCATCTCTACTAAAACAGTTAGCCAGGTATGGTGGTGCATGCCTGTAGTCCCAGGTACTTGGGAGGCTGATGTGGGAGAACCGCTTGAACCCAGGAAGTGGAGGTTGCAGTGAGCTTAGATTGCACCACTGCACTCCAGTCTGGGCAACAGAGTGAGGCTCCATCTCAAACAAATAAACAAAAAAAGAAACAATTAGGTGGGACTGTTCATTATGGAGTGGCTCTTGAGCTTACAGATGTATGCATTTGTCCAGTCCAGGCCTATTAATTATCCCGAAGTGAAGTAGTCTTTAGAAGGCAAGACTTTTATCACCCAAGAATTCCATAGGAATGAGTTATGATTGTCTGGTGGTGTGCCACTTTGCTTTGTTGATACTACCATTGGTTTAGAAGCTTGAGGATGGAACAACATGTAAAATAAGTTGCAGAACTTTGGAACTCGATACTTCTTGAGGTTTGCTTTGGCTTTTTAATTGGTCCAGGCTTGAAGTGGATAACTTATAGATCCACTGGTTCCATTTTTCCTACCCGGAAGCTCCAAAGTGGGCCAGAAATGCAAAGTGGTGTATGGGTGCGGTCCAAATAAGTACTTAAAGAAATCGTTTTTTTAGATTTAAGCTAAGTTTAATTCAGTCATAAAATGGAAGAAAGGAAATCATTTATGTTGGTAAAATTAGTTTCAATGGTATATTCTTATGAACTCTTTATAAGTGAATAAAGTAATATTTAAAGGAAAACTTTTTTTTCTCTTACAGAATGGCATTTACGTGTTCATTTTGTAAATTTCGAACGTTTGAAGAAAAAGATATTGAACTGCATCTGGAAAGTTCTTCACATCAGGAAACATTAGATCATATACAGAAACAAACTAAATTTGATAAAGTAGTTATGGAGTTTTTGCATGTAAGTAGCTGTTTTTGAAGTGAGAAGCATTTTATTGATATGAATTTCTTATGATTTCATTTTTCACTTTCCCCATCTCTTGCATTTATGTTTCTAAAATTTTAATTTACTATTTAAACAAAGAGTTGCTTTAAAATTAACCCAGAATTACTTGTGAATTCCTCTATAATAGAATTTGTATTTGTTATTTCAGAAATGATTACATTTTTCACAGTTGTTTCTGGGGGAGGTGTCCTTTAACAACTTTATTGATATAGAGTCAGCTATCATCCGTTAACTGGAGTTGTGCTGGTTACATTCATTCATTATTTCAGTTGAGTCCTATAACAACTCATTTTTATCATGAAAGATTATGCTCAGAGCAGTTAAATGACTGTTCAGTGCCAATGCCAGGAATTCAGAAGTACCGTAGGGGTTTGGCAAAGGGAAAGACGGTTGGGAATGTTAAGGAATGCTTAAAGAAGGGGCTTGAGCTAGACTGCTAATTGTACATAAAATGAATTTGGACAGAAGAGATGGAATTATTAGAAAGTTAAAAATACAGTGATCATCAAGTATACATATGTAACACACCTGCATGTTGTGCACATGTACCCTAGGACTTAAAGTATAATTAAAAAAAAAAAAGTCAAGAAACAATAGGTGCTGGAGAGGCCGTGGAGAAATAGTAACACTTTCACACTGTTGGTGGGAATGTAAATTAGTTAAATGATTGTGGAAGACAGCATGGAGATTCCTCAAGTATCTAGAATCAGAAATACCATTTGACAGAGCAATCTCATTACTGAGTATATACCCAAAGGAATATAAATCATTCTACTATAAAGACACATGCACACATATGTCTATTGGAGCACTATTTACAATAGCGAACTAATGGAATCAACCCAAATGTCCATCACTGATAAACTGGATAAAGAAAATGTGGTACATATACACCAGGGAATATTATGCAGCCACAAAAAAGGAATGAGATTATGTTCTTTGCAGGGACATGGATGAAGCTGGAAGCCATCATCCTCAGCAAACTAACATAGGAACATAAAACCAAACACCACATCTTCTCACTCATAAGTGGGAGTCAAACAATGAGAACTCATGGACACAGGCAGTGGAACAACACACCCCGGGCCTGTTGTGGGGTTGGAGGGAAGGAGAGGGAATTTATAGGACTAGTCAATAGGGGTAACAAACCGTCATGGCACATGTATACTTATGTAACAAACCTGCACATTTTGCACATTCATCCTGCAACTAAAAGTAAAATAAAAATAAAATAAAATAAAATAAAAACAGTGGCTAACAACAACAACAAAAAAATACAGTGATCAGGCCAGGCGTAGTGGCTCACACCTGTAATCCCAGCACTTTGGGAGGCTGAGGCGGGTGGATCACGAGGTCAGGGGTTTGAGACCAGCCTGAAAAACATGGTGAAACCCCGTCTTTACTAAAAATACAAAAATTAGCCAGACGTGGTGGCGCGTGCCTGTAATCCCAGCTACTCAGGAGGCTGAGGCAGGAGAATCCCTTAAACCCAGGAGGCAGAGGTTGCAGTGAGCAGAGATCGTGCCACTGCACTCCAGCCTGGGCGACAAGTGACACTCCATCTAAAAAAAAAAAAGTGAACATTCATACCACCGTAATCCTCATAGAACTAACTGTGACCCTTTATTTTCTTCTGTAACTTATTTCCTTAATGAGTTTCTGTGTGTCCTTTATAACTTAAATACCCACCTACTCTGGAAGACCTCTTAAATATTCTAGCTCCCTTTGATCCCTTTCTCTATATGCTTAAAATATACTTTGAAAAGTGAATACTTTTTGTAGGTTCCTAATATTTTATAATTATCTTTTCAACTAAATTGTAAACTCCTTGAGAAAAGATACTAATTCTTATATAGCAGATATTGTATCTTCCATAGGATGAACATGGTGCTAAGCATTATATTGAGTACTCATTGAAAACTATTTGGATTCTTTCTGTTTTGTTTTCTAGGAGTGTATGGTGAATAAATTCAAGAAAACATCTATTCGTAAGCAACAGACAAATAATCAAACAGAAGTAGTTAAAATAATTGAAAAAGATGTTATGGAAGGTAAGTATTTAAAACAAATTATTTTAAAATTCTGCATATATTTTTACATATCATAACCTGTTTAAATGTAAATGATAGCCACTAGAGTGATATAGTACAGTCATATATACAGTAGCTCTGAGTGAGTTACCAGAAATGAACTTCTTTGTCTTCCTGTTCTCATGCTTACAAATTTATCATTACCTGCCATTACTTTCTTCACTTCAGTTTGAGAGGAAAAGTTACCTTTTCCTCTGGATGAAAGATACTTCTCTCTGTTCTCTGTTTCTGTTATTCCTTCTCCCAAAATTCAAGTTATGAACTCTTCTGTTTTTTAGTCTTTCCTTCTCTTTTGATTCCATCTCTGGAGTCTGTAAATATGCTTTTACTTAAAAAAACAAAACAAAACAAAAACGAAAACTAACCAAACAAAAAAGAGCCAACAAAAGGAATAAAAAAAGGAAAGAAAAATAGACACTAGTTCTCCTAAATAACCTATCTTCTTTTTCATTTTAAATACCCAAATAACCATTCTTCTTTAAGCATAATCCACACTAGTCTCTGCTTCTTCGTCTCCCATGTGTTACATTAAACACATTAAACAGCTTTCGACTACTGTTAGTCTACTCAAACTGCTGTGACAGAAGTTACCAACACCAACTCCTCTAGGTTCTTTTGAATCATTATCTTCCGTAACATTTTTTACTAACTACATTATTCATGAATCATTTTTCTTGCTTTGTTTCTGTGGCACTTCACTGGCCTAATGTTTTCGTTATCCTTTTGTCATTTTTTAGTCTTTGTGCTTTCTCTGCCAGTCTTTTAGAATTTGATGTTTCTCAGTACCTTGTCATTAGCTCCATTACCATCTCCTTTTATGTTCCTTCCTAATAAATTCACTTACTTACAGAGCTTAAGTTAGTATCTAGATGTTCGTTACTTATACATCTCTATTTCTAGCACAGATCTTTCTTCTGAACTCAGTCTTACACATCTGCCTACTGACATCTCTCTACAGTAGTCACACAAAATCAACATATCCAAAAAATTTATCATCTCTTTGAGCATATCCTACCTTACATAGAAAGCAAAACAAAACCTCACAGTTTTTTCCTTCATTTATCTTGAAAAGGGCCTGCACCATCTACCAAAGCCGGAAGTAGAGAGTTATACGAGGTACTTTTTCCTTACTGTATCTCAAGTACTGATCAATTGAGAACGTCAATTCTATCTTTTGAATATTTATCAAATCTGTTTCTTTACGTCTCCTTTAAATACTGTATTTGTTCAAATCCTTGTCTGTTGTGTTGACAATTGTAGTATTTCCGAAGTAGTTTCCTTACTTCCAGTTTTTCTTATCTATGATTTTACCACATGATCTCATTGTTTCAGGAACTTTCTGTGGCTCCTCATCCTCTCCAGGATCAAGTTCAAATTCCTAGGCATGGCACATAAAGCTCTTTATTATTTAGGCCCTTTTTTTCTATTTTCATCTTTAGTCTCTTCTCTGTTCCAGTCGTACCAACTTGCAGAAAGTACCATTTTCTTTCACCCTTCCCTTGCATATGTTTATACCTTCATCTGTAATAAACCCTAGTCACCATTTGCAAGATCCAGAATATCTTTGTTCCTTATGAATCCAGTTTTGACATAATTTCCCCTTTTCTTACTCATCCACATTCATAATCATGGAAATTCTTCTTTTACTAGAAAATCAACATTTGCTTTCCTTTATATTATAGTTTTGGGAGGGTGAATGTACAGGCCTCAGAGCATGGTTGTTTAACCTGATTAGGAAGTATAATGTAATTATACCTTAATAATTTTAATTAGTTAGCGATATATTAAATCTACATATGTAGATTTATGAGATGTGGTAGAAATACTCAACATAAACCTGTTCACTCTGATCTTTATTTTGGAAGAAGGGGTATGGAAACTAAGTAGCAAAAACTTCATTGGTCAGAAATAATACATGAGTCATTTCTTTTGTAATTGGATGTCTTTTGTAGGTGTTACTGCAGATGATCACATGATGAAAGTAGAGACAGTTCATTGCAGTGCTTGCAGTGTGTATATCCCTGCCTTACATAGTTCAGTTCAGCAGCACCTAAAGTCTCCTGATCATATCAAAGGGAAGCAGGTAAAATTTTGATCTGTCTTAATAAAGTTGCTGGATTATCCATCAATATTTTATTGTTCTTTGGCCATAGCTTCACACCTATCTGCAATTTTATCAATTTATCAATCTCATATGGAAATAACTGTGATTATATTGAGAGAGGCAGTATATAGTGGTTAAGAGTGAGCTCTAGAGTAAGATTCCCTGAGTTGTTCAATCTATAACATGTGTTAAGCAAGCAAGTTAGCCTTTCTTTGTCTAAGTTTCCTTATCTGTAAAATGAGGGTAGATGATCATTCTACTCTTACCTGATTTTTTTAAAGAATTAGATTAACTAAAATATATAAGGCAATTAAAATAGTGCCTGGTAATGGTAAGCATTCAGGAAATTGTAGCTTTTATTGAACTGTTAACTTTTTAAAAAGTCAGTACGAAACAGTTTTGTGAGAGAGTATGTGTATTGTGTGTGTGTGTGTTTTAGAATAAAAAAGTAAAGATTTGATTATTACTGACAAATTTTTCTGATGGTTGGGAAAAATACATTTAAAAACAGCATTACCAGCTAGCATCTATTGTTACATTTTTAAGTAGAATATCCCTGAAATATTTACTGTCTTTTTGGTTAGTATGTTTCTGCTTCTCTATTGGCGTGGCTGGTTTTATTTAGTCAGATTTACTTCAGGCAATACAAATGTTTATATTGTGGAAAATCGGTTTGTTTGAAAAGCATATTTAAAGATTCAAATATTAAAGCCTTAAGTTTTAAGTAGAACATACCCAGTGTTAAACTTGTATTTTGTATTAAAGTGAACCTCATTTAATTCAGATTTCTTCAAGCATTTTTGAACACATACAATCTTTTCTTAATCTACGTCTTTTTCTTCTCTTGATATTCCCTTGACACCATTTTGGCAATTAGACATTCTATATTGTTACCTTTCTTCCTTTGTATAATAGTCTTGAAATAACTACAGCCTAAAGGAAGACTAGATACTCTTGTAGTATGAAAAATTATTCTTCGTTTTTTGATAGCATGAAAATTAATAGTTGGGGCCTGGGGAGGCAGATGGGGAGTGGAAAGAAGAGAAGGCAGCTATCTAGTAGAATCTAGACTTGTAGATTTGTGGGACTGAGTGTTTTCTGTTGAAGGAGATTGGCTTGAATCTTCAGTGTTTTAATTCATAGATTTACATTGTGGTTATAGTAGGTACTGTTGCTCTATAGTTTGTAAGACGATAAGTCATTCAAATCTAAGGGTTTGAGCATTAAATGCTTTTTAATTATGGAAATGTTTTTCATAGCATGATTTTCAAGAACCCTCAGTGTGTTCTGTTTTTTATAGGCTTATAAGGAACAAATAAAAAGAGAGAGTGTCTTGACTGCTACAAGCATTTTAAATAATCCAATAGTGAAGGCGCGATATGAACGTTTTGTTAAGGTAAGATATTAGGGCAAAAACCTTTTCGATAATATTGTGGTATTGCAATAATTAACTGGTGACATAGTAACCTTTTGTGATACTTGAATATAGTATAACATATTAAGAAGAATTTTACTCAGTATCTTGTATGTAAAACATCTTTTTTCCTTATTGTTGGGTTGGTCAAGATGGGAGCAGTGATTCCTCTGATCATCTTTGTAGCTCTGAATCAATTGAGAAATACACAAGAATTAGATAAAAAATCAAAATGTCAGCTTTATTCTTGATTTAAGAAAAAATTGACTTGGAGAATATATCTTAGTTATGTAGTTGCTGTGAACTTTTAATATTTCACTTCTGAATTAGGTAGACTTAGATCCTCCCAACTTCTGTTACCAGCCCAGATGGAGAGCAACAGGCTTCTAGTTTACCACATGGCGTAGAACAGACTAGGATGTACCTTTTCTGTCACTAGGAAGACCCAAAAGAGGGACCCAGAAGGGATTGTATTGTGTACACCTAGTTTTTTCTTCCAAGCATACTAATTGCATATGTCATTCCTTTTCTTTGGATAAAAGTTGGAGGGTAGCAGGAAGGTCAGATATGTTGCTCCAGAAGAAGGAATTTCATGGAATTTGGAGGGCAGGAGAAGAGAGGTTTGCTTCTAATATTAGGAAACTCAGATGTGAACTCTTTACTCCTCAGGGTTTTTGCCATATGTTATGGCTTGAATCCATCTTTACATAAAATTTATTATAAACACTATACAAATAAGAGCTTACTATGATTCAGGAGATTAATAGAAATCAATTTTAGAGGTTAGTCTTTTAGTTTTGTTCTGTTTTTACTTTTCGTATAATACCCAGACTGGTCTGACAGAAGTTATTTTTCAGTCTTTACAAAATAATACCTACCTTAAAATCATTATTCTACACTGAAGAGAGCAGTTGTGTTGAAGATGTACAAGTGTGTTATTTGCATTAGTAAGTATAGATTAAAGAAGTTTTGTTTGTTTTGTCTATTGTGACTGTTAACAGCTACTCTGAAGAAAACCTGATACATATTTAATGACCATTAAATTGCCCCTCTACCAGTTCTTTCCAAGCGAAATAATATCAGTTCTTTCAGCTTGTTCCTTAGGGACCTATTTTCTAATTTGTTAATTTAATATTTGTTAATATTTGTCACCGTTTACTACATTCTTGACACTGCTTTAAAAAAATGAATGCAGCCCTGAATTGAAATCCAATTTTATGGGAGGTATGGCATCACAAAGAAGCATCATACCTAAAGAAGGAAAGATTAGATTTTTATTTTTGCCTTGTCACAAACTTCTGAGAAGTCAATGGTTTCTATTGATATGTGAAGATAATTTTTAATAAGGGAAGAATGCAAAATTAGAATTTCTATATAGTGTTTTCAGGTTACACATAGAATTTCTATATAGTGTTTTCAGGTTACACAATTGAGTCACTTCATGGAATGGGAGATGTCACTGGTGGGAGTATCCTGCTCATGCACGTATTGTAGAGAACGCACCTGAACTGAGAACTCCTCTAGAACTTTGTTACTCAGAATGTGATCTGTGGATCAGCAGTATTGGTATCACTTGGGAGCTCATTAGAAATGCAGAATTTCAGGTCATACCCGGGACCACTGAAGAAGAATCTTCATTTTAATGAGATTCCTGTTGATTTATATGCATGTGAAAATTCAGGAAGCACGGGGGTCACATTACTCAATGATGGCCCTTTATTCGGCATGCGTGTCTGCTCTGTTCTCTGTTGTCGTTCCCCAGAACATGTTCTGCTCATGGTCAGCTCTGGTCATGGCTTAAAACTCCTCCACTGTCAAGTACTCTCTGTCTGACAAAATGCCCTTGTAAATCTTTGTCCTTTAGAGACACAGCAGAGAAGACAGAAAAAAACAAAATAAAACAAAACAAGTTTGTCCCCATCGAGATGATCAGTTCATCATTTTCTCCTAATTGTCCAACTGTATCATCATGTTCTGCCTTCAGTCCTTGCTGTGGGCATTGATAATCACCCTTTCAGTAGGGAATGGTGCTGTTCTAAAATTCCTTATTCGTTCTAGCTCTATGGTTAGCTTTAATGTTTGTCTTTCTAAAAAATGTGGAATCGTGCATGCCAGTCCTGTGTTTCCCAGATTTTTACTCAATTCACAATAATTTTACTTATTAACTACCAGTGTAATGTGTTCCCTATAGTGACTTTTCCAACCTTTAATAACTTCACATCTCAGATTTCATTCTTGCTCTCTTTGTTTCCCATATTCTTTTTCTTATATATGTGTATATATTTTAACACAATCTCTTTGTGTTGCCCAGGCCAGAATGCATGGTGTGATAGTAGCTCACTGCAGCCTTGAACTCCTGGGTTTAAAGCCATTCTCCCACCTCAGCCTCTCTAGTAGCTGGGATTACAGGCACACGCCACCACCTTCAGCTGCTTCCCATATTCTTATTCTCCTACATTAGGGAGATTGAGACCATTAGATGTAAATTCAGTAAGTGTTCGCATTTCTGCCTTAGATATATCTTTCCTTCACCTTTATTATCTGTGAGGAAAAATCATTGCCTTTCATATGTGTCCTAATTTCATCACTATTTCTTCCCTTACTTGCATCTGATTTTTTTCCTGTTTTTTTTTTTTTTTTTTTCCTAATATTCCTCAAATAGACATGCTTATGAGTTCCCTAAAATAAAAATGACTTAACTTTTCCTAGACTTTGGCCCACCCTATTTTATCATCTTTTCTCTTCCCAGAATACTTGAAATGGTAGTTTACTTTGCACATGCTCTTTGCTTCCTCTCTATTAGTCACTCTTTAAACTAGTAGTTGTCAACCAGAGGAATGTGTTCAGTTACCCGTGAGGCTAAGATAAATGAAAAGCTGCCTAAGCCCTTTTTTTAGGCTTTCTGAATTAGGGTTTCCCAAACCTCACTGATAAATACCTCCTAAAATGCTTCTCTTATTTTGAGACAGAGCCTCACTCTGTTGCCCAGGCTGGAGTACAGTGGTGCGATCTTGGCTTACTGCAAGCTCCACCTCCCAGGTTCAAACGATTCTCCTGCCTCAGCCTCCTGAGTAGCTGGGTCTGCGGGCGTGCACTACCACGCCAAGCTCATTTTTGCCCTGAAATGCTTCTTAAATGTGCAAGTTACCAAGCTTCTCCTGGAAATTTTGATTTAGGTGGTCTGAGATTGATCCAGGAATTGGTGTTTTCACCAAGAGCTCCAGTAGACTCAATGAAAATCTCAGGGTGTTGGAACCAGGGCCTGTGGTTTTTGACAGCTTCATAGGAAATTTTAAAGATACATTCTTGGACAACTGCTGCTGTCTTAACTGTCACATCATACTTTTGAAACTGCTCTGCCTAAGATTACTAATGATGTCATTATCAAATCTAGTGACCTTTAAAAAATTATAACCTACTATTTTAAATGTATGAAAATAAGGGGATTGTACAATAAATCCTCAAGAACCTCCATTCTGTAATGATGATCAGCTCTAGTGACCTTTTTCAATTGCTTTCTGCTTTTTTATACATATCATTTGACACTGTTGATCTATCACTTATTCTTGAAACTCTTTTATCAGGTAGTCTTTTACTGTCCTGGGTTTTCTCCTGCACCAAGTGTTCTTTCACTTCTTTTTTTTTCTTTTTTTTTTTGAGATGGAGTCTCGCTGTGTCGCCCAGGCTGGAGTGAAGTGGCACGATCTTGGCTCACTGCAAGCTTTGCCCCCTGGGTTCACCCCGTTCTCCTGTCTCAGTCTCCCGAGTAGCTGGGACTACAGGTGCCCGCTACTAATTTTTTGTATGTTTAGTGGAGACAGGGTTTCACTGTGTTAGCCGGGATGGTCTCGATCTCCTGACCTCATGATCCGCCCGCCTCAGCCTTACAGGTGTGAGCCACCATGCCTGGCCTTGTTCCTTCACTTCTAACTTCTGCTGCCCCCATGTATAGAGTAGGCATCTTCAAAGGGTTTTTATTCCAGCCCTTTTTTCTACTTAATCCACCAGTCCCATCCCAGGGCCTTGCCATTTAAGACTCTGGCTTCACCATGCGGTCTATGCAAGCAGGCAATTCATTAATGTAAATATCTTACTTTGAACTCTCCTCTCTTTTTTGAGTTGCAGATTTATAGCTGCCTATTAGACATCTGAAGTTTTAATTACATATATTAATAACGTATACACACTTCCTCCCCTTTTCCTTTCCATTAGAATAGTGATTGTAACTTACCTGTTCTGTGAATAATGTCACCACATCTTTTACATTTCTGGTCTGGTATTAGAGTAGCTTCCTCACTAGTATTCCTTCTTTTGGTTCTCTACTTCATCCTTCACATTCCTGTGGCATTCATCTTAAAGGGTAGTGCCAGTCTTAATGTTTTCCTGCTTAATAACCTTCACTGTTACTTCATTTCTTACTACATTAATATAGCCTTCTGATATGGTCAAATTTGTATGAGATTTGATCCAGATATGTAATTCAAATATTAAAATACAGTTGTACCTGTGAATGTTTACTGAGAGGTTTGTCTACTTTTTAAAAGTAGAAGTAAGGCATGGTATCTAATAGATTAGGCAAGGTACCTGATTTTCATTTGAGTTTTAAAGAGATTCTATAACATTAAATACTCATATAATTAAGTAAAATGTAAATCTTTGTGTCATCTCTTTCGTTTCTACCAAAAACAACACTTGCCTTTGTCATATATATATATATGATTTTAGAAATACAGTTAAGGGGAAAATATGCTGCTCTTGGGAGTGAATATTCAAGTGTGCATCAATTTTTTGAATACTTACCCTAGAAGATTCCAGTTATGGAGTATAAAGTAATGGCTTCAGTAAATTATATGCTCACATTGGTATGAAATGGACACTCAGTAAATATTTAATGAATTTGTTACAATTTATAATGAAAAGTTTCAAAATGGCATTTACTCCTCATGATATGGCAAGTAAAAATTTCACTTGCCATATCATGTAATAATGAATGTGCTGATTTTAAAACCCATTTCTTATGTTTTTAGGGTGAGAATCCTTTTGAAATTCAAGACCATTCTCAGGATCAGCAAATAGAAGGAGATGAGGAAGATGAAGAGAAGATTGATGAACCTATTGAAGAAGAGGAGGATGAAGAGGAGGAAGAAGAAGCAGAGGAAGTGGGGGAAGTAGAGGAGGTGGAAGAAGTAGAGGAAGTGAGAGAAGGAGGAATAGAGGGTGAGGGAAATATAGAGGGAGTGGGGGAAGGAGGGGAAGTAGGCACAGTGGGAGAATTAGAGGGAGTGGGGGAAGTAGAGGAAGTAGAGGAAGAAACAGCAAAGGAAGAACCGGCTGATTTCCCTGTTGAGCAACCTGAAGAAAATTAAATATAAGATATTAGATTTAAAAGGAGCTTTACATTTCGGTTCTAATGTAAAAAAGGGTAAGACATTTAATAGCTTAAAATATGAATTAACACCCATGTTGCATGCATTCCACATATTAAAATTTGTTTTATATAATTTCTAAATGTTTAACATTTGTTTAATAAAATGAAGGTAAAACTATTTTAGTTTTTATAGCTACCAAACTTAGATCTGATCAATTGTTTGTATAATTTTTAAGCTTAATTTTTATTACTTTATTGGTGTTAAGGATAACAAATGTGTATTGTTAGTACAGCTATTCTAATAATTTTATCTTAAATGCTGCTCTTGGGAGTGAATATTCAAGTGTGCATCAATTTTTTGAATACTTACCCTAGAAGATATAAACTGGGCAAGTATTTTGTGCTCTGACTGTGTATTTTTTTACTGCATTGGACATTGAATAGTAATTTGCGTTAAGATACGCTTAAAGGCTCTTTGTGACCATGTTTCCCTTTGTAGCAATAAAATGTTTTTTACAAAAAAACGTTCTCCCTGGATTAGCAGTTTAAATGAAACAGAGTTCATCACTGAAATGAATATTTAAAATCAAAATTTGCCTTAATGTATCAGTTCAGCTCACAAGTATTTTAAGAGGATTGAGAAGACTTGAATTAAAGAAAAAAAAATTCTCAATCATATTTTTAAAAAGTAAAACTAAAAATTTTTTTAAAAACACATTTCAAATAGAACTGAGTCTGTAACTGACCGTATTTATACTCTTTTTAGTTTGTTCCTTTTCCCTGTGCCTGTGTCAAATCTTGAAGTCTTCCTGAAAATACATTTGATACAAAGTTTTCTGTAGTTGTGTTAGTTCTTTTGTCATGTCTATTTTTGGCTGAAGAACCAAGAAGCAGACTTTTCTTTTAAAAGAATTATTTCTCTTTCAAATACTTCTATCCTTTTTTAAAAATTACTTTTTATGGCTTATATACTACATATATAAAAAGAGAACTTGAGCTTGATAGAGGATCTATTCTTAAGTCATTTGTTTTCAAACAACCATCTATCTATGTCACTAATAAGTAGTGCTCTTGTTTTTTTCAGTCTTTACTGTGGCCTCTTTTGAGAGTAGGGTCCGTTTTTTTTTTTCTTTTTTGGGACAGGGTTTCACTCTGTCGCCCAGACTGGAGTGCAGTATAGCCTCAACCTCCTGGGCTCAAGTGATCCACCAACTTAGCCTCCCACGTAGCTGGTACTGTTAAGTGTGAGCCACCATGCCCAGCTAAATTTTGTAGTTTTCGTGGAGACAGGGTTTTACCATGTTGTCCAGGCTGGTCTCGAACTCCTGGGCTCAAGTGACCTGCCTGTCTTGGCCTCCTAAAGTGCTGGGATTACAGGTGTGAGCCACCATGCCTGCATTTCAGTGAAATAAGATTCTTAAAGTTTTGAGGCATTGTATGGATAAATGTATTATATCAGATTGTAAGGCATTAAGTGGGTGAATATATGGACATTTGTAGAATCCCACAGATAATTTATCTTTTTGTATAAAACAAGACTTAAAACTAGACTTTCTGGACCAATACAGTTTTTTTTTTTGAGGTGAACTAAGTTTGCCTACCTTAAAGCTAGGAATATCCAGTAGATACTTGCATCTAATTTTAGGGATTTGGTGCCAAATAAGAGAAGGTTATTTGAAGACTAGAGAAATTTGGATACTCTCTAGGAGTCTGTATTTACTTAGCAGGCTTTTGAAAGCCTTTTTGCTTAGTTCAAATTTTAGGGATAATAGGACTTTTTACCCGCTTGTTTCTCCTTTATTTGAAAATATTTGTGGAAGGGCTAAGGTAAAATAGTAATAAATTCCTCTAGGTTATTAGTATTTGGTTCTTTTGATACTAAGCTGAGTGATTTTTTTAAAAACAATGTCTCTGGTAATCTGATTGAGATATGAAACTTTTGGAAAGAAGACTGTGTAACAAAAATTCTATGTAACAACTGGATAAAAGTTTTAGAATGAGAGATAGGAAAGAATATCTAAGTAGTGTTTTTTTGTGGGACACATGAGCCTTTATACAGACTAGCTAATTTGCAAGGTAATGATAAAAGTGTATTTTGTTACTGTGCTTTATTCAGAAATTCAAATTCATGTATTTCCTATTGGGTAATTTGTAGATGGGCAGTTTATAGGCAGGTTAGTTTTTGTGATCCTTAGTGTTTATATTTTCATTGCTTTTGTAATAAGGATTTATATAAGATCTTAAACATCTTTCAACTTCTGTTTTCCAAGTATCACTTGTTTTCTCTATTACAAAGTGAGATACATAGTTCTAAATAACCAAAGAAATTTATTTATAACCTACACAGTTGTTTCAGCTACATGCCTAGGGACTATCCTGTATTCTTCCCTTTTTATCACTTCCTACCTCCAGTCTATCAAAAAGTCTGTCTGTTCTACTTCCAAAATTTATCTGCCCACTCTTCTACCTTCACGGCAACCAACCCAGTTCAAGTCATGATCGTTTCATATTAACTAATCTTGATTCCACCCTTACTGTGGTAGATTCAGTTTTCTACACAAGTATAAGCTTTTAAAAATGTAATTCAGATAATGTTAATCTCATGCTTTTTTTTTGTACCTATACAGTTAGAACTCCTTATCATGTTGATCAGACTGGCCTAGCTTTCCAACTTTATAGCATATACTATTCTTCTCACCAGCCATAATGGCCTTCTGTTACTTTTTTGATGAAGTTCTTTCCTACAAAGACCTTTGCATTTTCTGTTTCTATAGCCTATACCCATCAGCTTCCCTTGGCTGATTCTTCATCCTTCAGGTCATCTTAAATGTTAGAAAATGGGAGTAGTTCTAAAATGTTTGTAGAAGCGAGGATTTGGGGGTACCAACCTAGATTTTACTAGAGCATATTCTTTGGAGATGTTCTTTTTTCCCACTTTTTATTTTTATTTTTTTTAGATAGGATCTCTCTTTGTCATGCAGGCTGGAATTCAGTGGCATGATCATGGCTCACTGCACCCTTGACCTCCTGGGCTCAAGTGGTCGTCCCACCTTAGCCTCCCAAGTAGCTGGGACCACAGGTGTGCACCATCACACTCAGCTAATATTTGTTTTGTAGAGATGGTGTCTTGCTTTGTCGCCAGGCTAGTCTTGAACTCCTGGACACAGGCAGTCCTCCCACCTCAGCCTCCCAAAGTGCTAGGATTATAGGCATGAGCCACCACGCCTAGCCTGGAGGTGATATATTTTTAACAAATATCTCACATGATTTTGAAGGTGGTCAGTGATTGCACTTTGAGAACATTCATAGGGCCCTCAAACAAATTCCTGGTGCCTGTAACTCTCCCCTATCAAGACAGGAGTTTCTGCCCTTTTGAATATAAACATAGGTTTGGGGAATTCTTCATAATATTTTCTGAAAGCACTAGAATCTGTAATAGACCTGCGGGCGTCAGAAAATGGGGCCTTTCCCCCCCTCATTTAATACTTACAACTGTATTGTGAAGTTAGTAGGATTAGTACTTTTCCCATATAATAAGCTCATTCTTGTACATGTAGACACAGAGAAAAGAACTACAAAGGTAAATGTTAGTGCATGTTGAAATGTATTTAAGAACACTGTTTTTGTTGACAAGATTGTTCTTATGTAGAAGTGGATATTATCAGATTATTTTAGATGTTATTTAACATTTGATTTATTTACCAAATTGTCCTTACTTTGAATATAAGCAGACTTTTTTTATTGTGGTAAAGTATGCATAGCATAAAATTACCGTTCTAGTCATTTTTTAATGTACCATTTAGTGGCATTAATTACAAGCAAACTTTTTTTTTTGAGACATAGATCACTCTGTGACCCAGGCTGGAGTTCAGTGGCACTATTTCAGCTCACTGCAACCTCTGCTTCCTGGGTTTAAGCGATTCTCATGCCTCAGCCTCCCGAGTAACTGAGATTACAGGCACACACCACCATGCCTAGCTATTTTTTGTGTGTTTTTAATAGAGATGGGGTTTCATCATATTGGTTAGGTTGGTCTTGAACTCCTGACCTCAGGTGATCCGCCTGCTTTGGCCTCCCAAAGTTCTGGGATTATAGGCATGAGCCACTGTGTCTGGCATACAAACTTTTGATTACAGTTTGCCACCTGTTGATGGACAGAAAATGGAGTAACCACACAGGCAGAAATGTTCTAGTCTGTGTGACAGTTACAGTTCATTTTATAAATAAACCATTTGACTTTATTTGGTAGTTATGGTTCCTATCCTGAGTGCTGGATCTCTATTTGGTATTTGAACAAATCCAGGGAATCTGCAAGGCTGAAAGGCAGATTCTTGGCAATGGTAAATTCAGTAGGTCCTGCCACCGTTTGAGGCCTCCTTGGAGACAGCCACACTAGTCTAATCTCTGCTTGACTTTCCCTTCTTTTTTCCCAGACCTCTAATTCTCAGAGGTCTGTTATGAATTCTAATGCTTTCAGAACATACTACGGAGAATCCCACAATGATAAATTTTCCCAGTTTTTGTTTTAAAACAAAGTTTAAAAATACTATATTAGGGGTTAGGGTGAGGTGATGTTGATGTTGACAGATGGCCCCCTTGGTGACAGGGAGGTATGAAATAGCATGGAATGTGGAAGGGTACTATGAGTAGCTTATTTATTAGATCAGTATAAAGTATAGATTTAAAAGAGTTAGATTAAAATGGCATGCTTGATTCAAGTCATTATATTCTAAAGTTCTATTAAAATTATAGAGGAGGTACAGTAATATAAATTTCAGTAATAAGGACAGCTTTATAATCACACTAGAAAGACAAGTGTGCTGTGAAATATTTCGAGAAGATTTCTAGAAAACAAGGAATTGGATGTTGGTGAAACCAAGAGAGCCAAGGAACTGACAGCCACATACAGATGATAATTAAAGAATGACTCCAGTTGTAGAGACAGCTCTGAGATGGGGTGTCTGTAGTGTGCTAAGCCAGATTTTTAAAGGACTAGATAGTTATTCTGGTCTCTGACTCAGAGCTACTGGTCCGCACAATTCCTCTAAGCTAAAGCTATAACACAACTTGATGTTTGCCAAATAAGGTGAGACTCACAGAGTATATATGCAGTGCATATAAATAGGGGCCATCAAAGTGTGGCAATGCCCTAGCTATACTGTGATTACAGCAAGGAGCTTTGTTCCTCATACTTACAAGCAAACAAAGAAAAATCTGCCAGCTGTCTATTTCCCAGTTTTCCTTCTGACTGTTCCTTTCTCCTTTCTCACACAATTAAAATGCTAGGTTTCCTGTAGTCACAATCTTCAGGGAATTTTCCACTCAAGCCCAGAAAATAAACTCCAGATAATGATACTGAGAAATTTATTGGTTGGAAAACTACTATCTGTGGCCTCCCTATTTCTTAGTAGATTTTACATTTTTAAAGGGATGTAGAACACCAAAACAATATATGACAGATACTGTGTGTGGGCCTCAAAACCTAACCTTTATATAAAAAGTTTGTTGACTCCTAGGCTCTAATTTGCAAATAGACAAACAAATGAGAAACAGCAAAAACATAAGGAAAAGAGCAACATGAAATATGTACAGTAAACTTAACAAGCAGAAAGAATTCCTGGGAAAACAATTCAGGGGAAAAAAATGACCAAGTATAATTAGTAGTATATGGAATAATAGCGCTACTTATAATAGTTTTATATGTAATCCTCATCATATTATATGTCATAATCTTCAAGTATTTTAGAGGTTGTTGTACTAATTTAAAAAATGCAAGTTGCTATAAAGAAGTATCTTGGAAATAAAAAACAGTTGTGAAAATAAACTCTGTTTTAG